AGCCCCCCGGGCCGTGGCCGCGGGTACAGGCAGGGTCAGACAGCGCGCTCAGCCGCACTCCTGCGCGCACCGGGTGCACCCCAGCGACACCTGTGTGTGCGCACGGGCGGGTTACACCCCTGCTACACCTGTGCGCGCAACTATTACACCCCCCAGCACTACACCTATTACATCCCAACTACACTTGTGCACACACACACACTCCAGTTATCCCTGTGCATGCACACACCCAGCTGCACTTGGGTACATCCATCTCATACACACCCACACCAGTTACACCCCTCCTATATCTTGTGCACACACACAGGCTACACCTGTGCACACATACACACACCGGTTATACCTCTGATATATCTTTGTGCAACACACCAATTACACCCCAGGTACATCTGTGCACAAACATACACATTGGTTACAGCCAGGTTATACATGTTTGCACCCACACCTCAGTTACTCACAACCCTCACAGACACATTATATCTGTGTGCGCACACACATTCTGGTTACTCCAGTTACACCTGCGCATGCACACACAGACCAATTACACCCCCACCCTATACAGCCTCATTATACCTGTGTGCACAGACACAGTTCACACCACCATTACACTCCCACTGCATCTATGTTCACACATGGATTACACCCCCACAGCCTTGCCAACCTTCTGTGGGCATGTACATACCCCCATTTTTCCTGTGCATACACAGGAGCTATACCTGAGAGCAAATACACACCAGATGCATCCATGCACACCATTACACATGTGCACACACTAATTATACCTTCACACCCTCATACCTGTGTGTGGACACACCAGTTACTCCCATACATCTCCATTATATCTGTGCACACGCTGATTACATGCCTGCTATATCAGTGCATGCATGTACACATGTGCACGCATGTACACATGTGCACCCATGTGCACACACACACATACTGGTTAAAAACCACTATTATACTAGTGTGCAAACATACACTGGTTACACTCATACCCCCATTATACATGTACACAAGTTACACACACACAAACACACACCATTATACCTATTCACCCTCATTATATCTGTAAGCATATTAGTTACATCCCTAGTATACTTGTGTACACTGCACACCAGTAATACCCATACATTCTCATTAAACTTGTACACACTCCAGTTAAATGCCATGCCCTGTATGCTTGTGTGCATCAGTTACAGCTATACACACACTGGTTACATGTCTGCTATACCAGAGCGCATACACATTCACTGGGTACACCCATGCACCTCCATTATACCGGTACACAAACACATACCAATGCAATACTCTGCCCCTCACCATACCCATGAGCATCCACCTGCACACATGTACCAGTTATACCTAGGGATACCTGGACACACACAAATTACACTCATGTATCTCCTGTGTCTCCATTACAACTGTGTGTCTTTCCTCTTCTCAGCTGCACCTTTGCGAATCCATATTCATATTCTGCCCCTGCACATCAGGGGGGATCTCTTGCAACTGCAGCTGAGGAAAAGGGGGCATTGCTTACCCAAGCCAGGAAGAGGAGGGGGAATCACGGTTCCCATGGAAACATGTAGGCTAAAGGTGATTTTCACCATCAATCGAGGGCTGTGGAAGTACAAAGAGGAGAATAAATCATTTACATTGACAGTTTCTCCCTTCTCCAGGCAGGGATCATTCTGATGCATTGCACAGCTGCTTTGCAAAGTAGTACCTGTCTTGGAGCTTGTCTCCATGGGGACTTATACCACTATAAAGTAATGTGCGGTGTGACTTTAAACTTCTGTAGGCATAACTCCCTGTCTGGATTGGCCCGTAAAGGCTGCCATCTTGTGCTGCATAATCTCAGCTTTCCTTTACAAAGTTAAGGCCTGGATTGTTGGGCGGCAAAGTGAATTTAAAATTGCAGAGGTGGCCAATGGAGAATTCTCCTTGGGCGGAGGAATCTGCACCCAGGAGAAGCTGATGAAGGGGGTTCTGCCACATCCTGAACAAGCCATCCTTCACCCTCAACAGAAAAGGGAAAGAAGTTGTGCTGGGGGTATGCAAGAACTGGGAAGAGAAAGGGGGTATTGACCAAGCTGACTCCCAGTAGGCTCTGTGGAACCTTGCATTAGGGCTGTACATTAGAGCTAATGAGGGATTGCTGATGATGGCAATGACATTCAAGCTGCTTCTTGGCAGCTCTGACTTGCTCCACGGTCAGGCAATGCTCAGCCACAACCAACCCCCTGATGATCCTCTGACCCTACTGCACTTGTGTTCTGTTAGGAAAGCTGTCCCCACTGTCTCTCGCTGCAGGAAATGTTACTTACTACTGATAGATTCAGGTTTTAGGATTCTCCTGGAAATCTGTTCTGTTTGTCAGTGGTGGGCAACCTGTGCCCATGGGCTGCATGTGGCCCACAAGGGCTCCACCTGCAGCCAATGGGTCCCCTGTCTATCCCCCTCCCAGAATTGAGAGGGAGAGGGAGGAGCAGAGATGGAGCATAAATCACGCAATTTGTGGCCCTGCAAAGTGCTGAGAGGGAGGAGCAGGTAAGTGTGGGGCTCCAGTGTCCCAGAGGTGTGAGAAGGACAGGGGCAGACAGCGGGTCTGCAGGCCACAGGTGGAATTCCACTGGGATACTGGCTGCTGTGACCCACTGAGATGGAGGTCCACTCATGCGGCTCACTCACTCTTCTTGGTTGCCTGTTGCTGGCTTATATACTTCTTGTGGAAAGGAGAGTATTTGGTAGGATTGGGGGACACGGTGAGTGTAGCGGCTTCCCGCTCGTGTTGGGGAATTAGCACTGCTGGCAGGTGGCCGGATCCCTTTCAGGACACTGCCCTCCGACAATGTCCACAACAGCCTGAGCTTTTCCCCCCTTCCGGGGGACGGTTAGTTGTAGGTCGGCAGGCCTTTGGGAGGCGGTTCCTCTGCCCCTGGTACAATGGGTGGCTAGTCCGCCCTATGGCCCTACCGTGCCTTAAAATAGTCCGAGTCTATGAGTCTATTTCCAGTCTTATTTCAGGTCGGGGTGAGAGACAATAGTTCAGGGGCCCGGCCTTGCTTCAGGCCCGGGCTTCTGGGGAAGAAATTCTCCGTATATCCAAGTCTCTTAACTCAGTTATGAGCAGGACAACAGTCCTAGTCCTGGCCCTTTAAAAGGTCCGGTCCGGATCCTGGCCAGGTACCAAAAACACCATACGGAAGCCCAGGCCCTCAGGCAGGGCAGCGGAGCACCGGGTGCAAGCCTGGGCCCTCAAGCAGGGCGGGACGGCAAACACAGTAAGCTGAGCCCAGGCCCTTGGTACAGGGCGGGGCAGCTAATTAACAATGGCGGCCAGGCCCTAGTGCAAGGCGTGGCCGCAAATCAGACAGAGTGAGTAAGCTCTAGCCCTGGAGCAGGGCAGGACAACCAACACAATAAGCAAAGCCAGTCCAAACTCAGGGCGGGGCAGCAAATGGCGGCCAGGCCCTGATGCAAGGCGTGGCCACAAACAAACACACAGGTTTGTAGAAGCTCCGAGTTCAGGAGCTGGGCAGGTAGTGTTCCTGCAGCGGTGGCGAGGGGGGAGACTGCCACCCGGTTAGTCGGTGGCAGGGGGGGCGCAGGCCCACCCACTCCACTGCGCCCCGGCCCAGAGCCCTGATTGCAGCAGTGCAGCTGCTACTGGCTCAGCAGGGGCTCCAGCCCGCAACTTGCTGGCCTAGGGCTGCTCTCAGCCCGTGCTACCCCCTGGGCCACTTCTTGTCTCCCCCTTCGCTGGTACCTGTAGCTCCAGCAGGTCGTCAGGGAGTCGAGGCACCGTCGTCCCCGCAGTGTCCGGCCGGCCCAATCCAGGAGTCAAGGGGTTGGAGCTCTGCAGCGTCCCGCGCGTTCGTCCGGCCTGGCATTCTAGTACCCATTGGGGATCCAGCTGGCCCACCAGGTCGAATCATTCCTGTCCAGTGATATTGACTCTTTCTTGGCCAGGCCTCAGTAGCCCAGGCAGGGAAGCCTTGACCGGCCTCCAGGAAGGCAGCTGAGGGCGGCCCAGCCCGGGTCTTAGCCTCCCCAAGCAGGAGCTCTGGACAGGCCTTCGGCTCCTTCAGAGGCTGGGCCCAAAATGGCTCCCAGAGGGGTTCCTCCGCCTCAGGCTCTGTGGGTGGCCATTCCACCCCACTACAGTTAGTCTATGTACTTTTAAATATTTATACATATCTGTAGATAATGAGGAAGCCATGGCACAAGACTGGAAAACAGTGGTACTTCTAATATTACACACAAAGTCAGATTTGGTGATCACAGTGCTCCCTTCTGGCAATAAGCCCAATGAAGCAAAGCTCCTCATTAAAATCAGGGCCATTTCAATTCTGACCCATAAAAAGAATGGAAAACAGAGATACAGAGAATAACACAAATGATTAAAGATCTAGAAAACATGACCTGTGAGGCAAGACTGGAAAAATTGGGTTTGTTTAGTCTGGAGAAAAGAAAACTCAGGGGCAGGGGACATAACAGTTCTCCAGTACATAAAAAGTTGTCACAAGGAGGAGGGAGAAAAATTGTTCTTGTTAACATCTGAGGATAGGACAAGAAGCAATGGGCTTAAATTGCAGCAAGGGCAGATTAAGTTGGACATCGAGAAAAATGTCTTGTCAGGGTAATTGAACAGAAATAAATTGCTTAGAGAGGTTGTAGAATTTGTCATTGCAGATTTTTAAGAGCAAGTTAGACCATCTGTCAGGGATGGTGGAATAAGACTTAATTCTATCTTGTGTGCAGGTGACTGGACTATAAAACCTCTAGAGGTTCTTCTCAGATTCTATGATACCTTACAAAGGAGATGAATATA